TTTCACATTCATAATCCACATTCATCAAGACAGAGAGGCAATGCCAGGCGATTTACACCACGATCTGCCAATGGATCATGGACGCCTGGACTAAGGGAACTGTCTCAAGTGTCGTTTTGTTTGTTTCATTTAATGTGTTTTTAAATCTGGTGCAACATATGTATGAAAATAGACGAGAGAATTCAACATTATTGATATTGCGCTTTATGATCCAGTGCACCTTATAGTCCCAAAAATAAGTTGTTTTTTTTAAATCACCATGTTATCTTTTATTGTTTTGAACTTTATGCTTGTTTTTGTTTCATGTGGATAGGCCCAGTAATAGCAGAGATATGAATCATAAACAATAATCAGGTCAACAAATCTAAATCTGACAGTTTAGTTTGAAATTAGTAAAAAAAAAAAAAAAGTAAAAAGTCACATCCCATAAACCAGTATGTAAACACTGGACAACACACTTTGAGTCACATATGTGTCACACACGCCTAAAGTAGACAGCTCAGTGTCTCTTCCTCAGTGCACAACTAACAGATTTGTATAAATAGAGTTTTAAGCTTGAATAGAGAGTTAAACAGGGCTGCCTTTGTTCTGTTAATATATTTAAGAAACAGCTCTGATTTTGAACCTTTAAAGGTGTTAGCCAAATCTTTATTCACCTGACAGAAGATAAACCCAGTGGCAAAGAGGAGAACACACTCTGTTGTTGTTTATCTGTTTTATTGTTACAAACTGTGTCAGATTTGGCCTGCTGACAGATTCAGATTTGTAATACATAACACCATATTACTCATTACTTCACAAGTCTCAAGTGAAGTAATGATATCTCAGTCTCTTCATAAAGCTGTTCCATTATTCAGCCCCAGAGGTGTGATTCCTTTCAAATGTATCAGAGAGAAATAATGAAAGGAAACTTTTTGGTGCCAGTGATTGTGTAATGTGTTAAAGCACAGATTTACAGCACATGTCTCTCACACCATGAGAAATGAGTGGCTGAGTGGCTAGCACTCATGCCTCACAGCTACGAGATTCTGGGTTCGATCCTGCTGCCTGGGCCTTTCTGTGTGAAGTTTACATGTTCTCTGTGTCTGGGTGGGTTTTGTCTGAGCACTCCGGTTTCCCCCATCAAACACAGAGAATTTCCCTATAGGGAAAAAAAAAAAAAAAGAAACAGTTAGACTGGTCCCACCAGTCTGACTCCCTCTAAAGGGAGGAAGTCACACAAAGTCTGACACACACTCTAAATTACTATGTGTCGTTTTTACAGGACTAGTCTAACTTTTGTTTTACAAAGTAAACTTTTCAGTAATCTTTTGTATCTTGTATAATTTGGTAAAGTTTACCAAAAGACTGTTACATTTATGCCCAGAGTTTCAGAGAATGTGCCAAAGAGATTAAAAAAAAAAAAAAAAAAAAGCCTTTGTTTGTTTGCGTCTGTTCACTCAGTGTCCATAGACACATTACTGGTGGTTTCATGTTACAAAATCAACTCCTCAACTGAAAACTGACATTTTCAAAACTACACAGAACTTCAACTTTCTAAAGCAAAGGTAATAATACAGTTTTCCTTCGCTGCTTTGGCACATCATCTGTTCAGAGCACTTGCACTTGCAAATCAGTGACTTTTGTAAATCATGAGCCCATTTTCATGTTTGTTTTTACACAGAGAATGCTCTGGTGCATTGTTTCCTGACCAGTGAGTGGAGAAGGGTCCTTGAGCACTGCACTTTACACACAACAGTTTTGGCTGGAGGAACTATGGGGGTGCTGAGTTCTTCACTGAGGGTTCACATTGAACATCATCATTTAGAGCCTTTTATGGATGTGAACACTAACCTCCACCATGTTTGCTTTGCTCTGTTTTAAACAAACTTAACTGTAATTAACCCCTGTAGTGATCAATAAAACCTACTAAGAAATTCTTGTTTTATTGTAGCTCACTTTGAACACCCCCTCCCCGGCACTTCCCCTGTTCAAAGGACACAAATAAGGGACTGTTGGATTGTGTGAAATGAGATGTTTGTTTTTTCCTATATCCATGGGGAATGTAAGATGCTACAGGCTTTTTACACCAAATGTGGCAGAAGACCTTCAGAGAAGTTCTCTCTCTCTCTGATCCCATAACCTGTGCAGGTCTGTGCATTCTGAGGGATGGACATGTTCACTGTGAAAAGAATTTTGAGTGGGTTATTTTGCAATCAATATAATACAATTTTGATGTTTGTATGAATAGTTTTGAGGAATGCATTTCTATCTTTGAAAAGTCAGAGAAATTCAGAGAACTGCACCAAAGCAATTGAGAAAAATCCTAATATTATCATGTTTAGTGACTCCCAAACTAAAGTAATCCTTATTGGAATAATAATGTCACTCAGTGAGTTTGAATTTTAAAAGACCAAGTGTGGTGCAGTCCTGATTTTATCTGATCAAATACATTCATAA